GTGGCAGCCGACGTTCTATCAACGCATCCAAAAGTCCAACTTCCATCAGTTTGAGTATTCTATTCATGAAAATCATTTATTCATATGTAATCAATTATCATGATTATATTATAATTCCTGTCGACATTTTTGTTACCCAAGATCAATAGTTCTTTTATATTTGAAATTCTTTGCGATGCCGGCAGCTATCCACATTTGCAAGTAGGGCCTTCCAACCAGAGTAAGGCGGCATATAATGTTTCCTCTTACTTTAGACTCATCTTCACCTTGGAGTAGAACGTAACGTTTTCCTTTTGTGGAACACGCCATTTTAAACATTTCCTCGACTGTTGATACAGCGATATTGCGTTTTGCCTCTCTAACTCGTACGAAAGTTTCTTGAGGACTTACCTATAAATTAGAACGAATATATTCGAAGCAGGAAATTTTAAATCTAATTACTTATTAATGAATTATAAATATTGTAATTATTATAATTATATATCAATAATTATAATTATTATTTACCTTAAACGCGATATCTGCAATTGAACCCTTTAGATTCACAACACTGTATTTAGAATGAGTTACCATAGAATCGAGAGAATCGAATGGTGGTATAAAAATACGTTTTGCCATATAAATAAACAGCACAGCACCAAACGCCATGTGCAATATAGAACAAAAAAGGCCTAGCGATGTTTCTAATATCCTTGATCTTTTCTCAAGAATGCCGGGAATGTAGCCTATTATAATTATTACTCAAACTAAAATCTTTCATTATGGTAAAATATTATTTTGTACGGAAACAAGTTTTGATGATGGCAAGCATGTGTTGTTTTCATGTATTTCCAAAATGATATCATTATTATATGTAATAATTAAAATCTGAGTTCTAAAACGTGCGCGATTCGAAACTTAATAAATCTTCAGAAAAAGATACACGTAAGAAAATTACACATAAGCTTGATGAATGGGAATAAAATGTCCAAACTTATGATTCATACTTTGTTTGCAGAGCATTCCAAAGTTATAGAAGAAGTGATCGCCGAAGGTTGTGCTTTTACATTTATCTTCGAGTCGTGCAATGACAATTTGTGAGCAAAAGCTGCACACGCTCAGCAATACATGTATAACTAATATAATGCACCATATTTGCCAAGAGAATACTTTTGCCATCCATGTGCTATCGTGTATCCCTTCTTCACGAACATACAATCGTTGGCTGCAAAATTCAAGATTATTATGGCAATTTTTAGCATAGTTAAATTTTTGTTGAATCACCAAGAATAAATTTTATAAAATGTCTCTCTTTTGAGAATTTTACATATTTTTTTCTCTATTTATTGTTTCAAAAGATAGAAATGTGTTCGTAAAACTAAGTACTTAAATATACCTGTTCATCCACAGAGGCATTGAAAAATCAACAGCTACAAGTCGCGCACTATATGTTTCGACTTTTGGTATTACAGTAGTCTCATTGCGAAAAATTATGCTTAATAATCCATGCTGATAAGTCTGATTTTCCAGTAAACCCAGGCTGCTTTCATTTGATCTAATTGGCTGTAATCTAGAAATAAGAAAAGTGTTTTCTGATTACTGTATGTTCTTATCTTTGTTAACAGTTAATTTTCTAATACAATAGCAATATGATCAAAGCAACTTTACGTAAAATTCAGCGATTGCGAAAGCAAGGTCCATAAATCACCGCAGAGTCCTGTTATTTTTGTGTCATTGTCATAGAATTCGAGGAAATATTTTTCCTAAAAATATGCAATCACAACGAAATTATTATTTAATTATTTGCTGATTTATATTTTTAAATTTAAAATACGTAATAGATTGCTAATTTAGGATTATTATATACGCATACGATACTACTTTGAATATTCAAATCTTCCCTAATCGATTTCTGAAGAGCAGTTATCATGTTATTAATTAAAGAAATTAATTTTAACGAAAAATATGAACATTGCGTAAACTCGAAAAATATTTGAGACTAAACATTGGATATATACGATTTATGGAAGCATACCTCGAAAGATGTTAAAGTCAAGTTTTGCAGTTGAAAATTATGAGTTTCCTGTTCTCGACTTTGTCTAAAACGTTCTTGTTGCATCATGGCATATACTGGTATACTCGAAATTGGTACAAAAATTCCTTGCATTTTGTTCCAAATCACGCCATTCATCTTGGACTATGACAATGTAGCCAGGAGTAACAATCATCTCAAAAAGACGTCTCTACACGTTTTTATAACTTTTATACTATTTTTTTGTAGTTTTTTAATAGAGAAATAATTATCATGAGTCTCTGATTGCGTATAGTTCGAGATAGCACAAATAAAGGGATAAAGCATTTGCAATCTCTTTATAAAATCTTATGCACATACCGACTTATTCCTCAAAGTATTAATTTAGCTGAGAAAATTGATACATGCTAATGTGTAGCACCAATATTATATCAATGAATAATGTCCATTAATTATTTACAATTTTGATTCGTAAAACCTTCCTATTAATGAAGGCAAATACCTGTTATGGACTGCCGTAGAGATTCCAGCGTATCCGTTTTTTAACGGCTTTAACGTAGATCGAATCGAAGATCATCTTCCAACACATTTTTTTCTGCGTCGTTTATTCGTAGCAAATCAATTCTAGTCGTTATCACGATTTGCAGAATGCAATCATACTATTTTTCCATTCAGGCTGCTGGGCGTCTCGATGGCGTGTCGTAACGTTATCACATGGCAAAACTAATGTAATGCAAAAGCATTTGATCAATAATACCTTGCGTGATATCATAATGCAAACAAAACATATGAACTAGTGATTACACGTTGCGAACATCATCTTTTATCCGTTAGTACATTGATGAAACGATAAAAAGATAATTCAGCTATTATATGTTGATATTTAACGGGAAAACTGTCAGCTGCAAATTATTATTGCAACATTTAAAGCTTCCTGGAAAATGTGCACATAAAATAAACAGATAGTTAAATGTTGATCGTATTACAACTATTGGATACATTTTTATAAAACAAAAGGAAGTGAGCAGCCGTAGTATACGAAAAACATGAATTGTATATTATATTTGACTGAATATATAAAGGTCTTAAATGTATAATTTTTCGCTGAAGTTTACTTGACATAAATTAACTTAGGTCTAAGCTTCCGTGGCAAACCTTCGAGACGATCGGGATTATGATCGATACAAACTTCGATTCGGAGATTTGTCAGTTCTAGAAGTCCTTATTTAACTCAATAGCACTCTCACGCACACTCTTCGATCTTCGTTCGTTCAGTCAATGGACGTGGGAGCTAAAAATCACCGAACGACATTATTAATGTCACGTTCTTTTTTTTTTTTACCTCATTCCAAAAAACGGAACTTACTCTTCACGTATTTTTCTTTTTTTTTCTTCTTCATTAATACAAAATTATAAAAAGTATAATACAGTCTCCCTTGAAATGCTTTAATTCTAAGTTTTCACTCTTTAATCGCTTGTCGCTAATATATTTGCTGCTTCGGTTTTAAATGGGCATTAATTTCGCCAAGTTCATCGTTGGATATTGTTCGACTTTGTATCGAGTGACAGTATTTTAGCGTCCGTTAGGATGCATATTCTACGCCCTATACACAAATAACATATAATTTATACATGAACGCCGATAATTCTCCGTTTAACATCGCTGAATGTTTCGTGGTTATCAAATCTCAGTCGTTTGCGTCTTTGAGGTCAAGAAATACTAAAAAATTGTACAGCTGAAAAAATAGCAAGCATTTAAAAAATTTGCCGCGATAAATTACCTCTTTTGTTAGCGCAGTATATATAATCATAATAATATTAAATATCTGTAGATACACAATGTGCGCGTGATGTAGGAGAGGAAGCCACCGATAACTATAATAATTGATTTGTTTCCGTTGCATATCAGCGCCTTGGAACGTACTCCAATTAATGTATATATATATTACAATTGTTGCAATAAATTACGATTTCATTTTGAAAGAGCGACCTCAAAGATTTTTTACAGATAAAAGATAAATATGCGATTATTATAAAAATGTACAAATTGAATACCTTTTTGTTAACAGTCAATATTCACTATCCGAGTTTTGGCATACGATATGACGATTATAAAAATTGCTTTTTAGAAAACATCTTATAACACACATTCAAAAAACACACTCATACATCTTTTCTCTATCACTCTTTCCTTCTCACTTCCGCTTATTACAATATCCGATCGCGCATGCTCGCATACGACTTTTTTTTGAACATTTCTGTAAAGATTATTCGAAAACGTGAATCATAAGGTATGCCTTATATAGAGCATAACAATATTCCATACAATATTATACTCTTTGGACAGAGCATGCATGATTAAACACTCGTTTTAATGTAAATATCAACGTGCGTTGACATTGTATGTTCTGCAAGTTAAATCTTTTTTTTAAATGTGAAATAGAAATATCTCTCGCATCTTTTATATAACTTACGAATAAATGTATAAATTATATATATGTATTCATTAGTATAATATTTCAATTAACATCTATCTTTTGTTAAAAATAAAAGGATAAGTATATCTTTAAAAAAGTTCATATTTTGTTGGATAAATAAAGTCACAAATGGAATTATATTAGAGCACAATATCCGATTCTGTCCTGCATATGTATGTTATTAAACTATGTTATATGTGAGACATTAGGCATACACCACCCGAGATAAACGGCAATATAAAATATGTGTATAATTGTAAAAATAAATAAATGCACGTATATGGCAGTGAGTAGGTGTAATAGCGATTCTCAGTATCTACCTTGTTCGTTTCGATACTGCTGAGAGTATCCGACACTATTGTAAGGATATACCTACACTTGCATCAATGCTGACAATCATCGTGGCAAATATATATATATACGAGAAACGTATACATTAATCGCTACTACGAAATCGTTCACTTTGATACCCTTGTTTCAGTCGTGACTTTGCTGGGATCCGGTAACCTGACAACCAATTGTGCGCCGTTTTGCATCGGTCTCGAGCCGTTATTTGGTGGTAAGATTGGTTTAGGCGCGACCGGCTGAGGTATTATTGCAGGTAAAACTTTCTTCGCGCCGCTCAACTTGGGCGAGCAACATTGTTTGTCGTCGTAAACGTCGTTCAGATTGACATTTGTAGTAGGATTTTGATAATTAGGCATTTTCATTGGTGTTCCATGTTCCGTGTTGAAACTGCTGATCTGCCTCTGTTCAATGCAGTTAGAATTCGGGAAAGTATTCACCGGCGGTAGCATTTTTATCGAGCTACTGTGATCGTTGACGTTGCAGATAGCCGGCTCCGCTTTCTGGTCGCTCTTATATATGGGTGCCGATAATTGCGTCGAATTGGTTTTATTGGTGCTCTTGTGGCTGCTGCCGGAGTAGCTGGTGATAGACTCGTTGCAGAAGTCGCTCAAGTAGGTTTGATTTATGTACCAATTGTGCAGTCGATGATGGATTTCCGGAAACTGCGGCCTGCGATTCGCCACTTCATGCCAGCATTCGATCATTAGACTGTAAATCATTGTCGGACAGTCTTCGGGACACGGCAGTAATTGCCGCGAGCGAATCATGTCTATAACCTCTTGATTGTTGTATCCATAGTATGGCTGGATAAAAATACACAAAACGTAAGAGGAATTGTAGAAATAGGATTTTTATCATTGATTTGACTTGAATTTTTTTTTTACCTGCAAACCGTAACTGTAGATTTCCCAGAGTACAACACCAAAGCTCCATACGTCCGATTCAGTGGTGAATTTACCATAAAGAATCGACTCAGGTGGCATCCATCGAACAGGCAGCAGGCTCTTGGATTGTACTCTGTAGTAGTCGCTGCTGTATATATCCCGTGATAGACCGAAATCTGAGATTTTGACTGTTAGGTTATCGCCCACTAAGCAATTTCTCGCTGCCAAATCGCGATGGACGTAATGATGACTAGCCAAATATTCCATGCCTGAAGAAAATGAACGATTATTACCATTATTACGTGCGTACAAGATTATGATAATTTAATTATGTATAAATCAATGTTAACCAGAAGCAATTTGTAAAGCAATATGCAAAAATTCCGGTTGCTCTAGAATTTTTGCGCCGCTGTTGTTTAACGGAACGTCCGATCTCGGGGAATGACAGATCAGAAATTCGTGCAGATCACCCTGAGTCATGTATTCGAAGAGCATGCACATCGGTTCTCCTTTCAGTATCACGCCAAGCAGACAAATGATATTCGGATGCCTGAGATCCGTCATGAGTTCGACTTCTCTCTTGAAATCGCTCTGAGTCTTTGGAGTTGCATTTTCCTTCAGTGTTTTTACCGCTACGTAAATAGGTGGCTCGCACTTGTTATCAGTTTGTAATTCGCCTTTGTAAACTTTTCCTACGAGTAATAATTTAATGTGAAATAAATTATTGATGAAATTTAAACAGTAAAAAAATATTTTTTATGCTTACCGAAAGCGCCTTCGCCGAGTTCTTGCAAGAGTACGACATTATTTGTGGTAAATTGCGGTATCCTAGTATTTGAAGTTCTACTACTGCCGCTGCTTAAAGTGCCAGTGCCCGGTGTTGTGTTACCCGGTCCTGCCAAAAGAGAACTCATTTCCATGGGCTGCGTTGTGCTCCTCCTTCCATCGTATATGTTCTTATCGCACTGGATACCAGTTAATATCTAAAATTGAAATATTATTTTAATAATATCAAATTTTGCAACTCATAATTTGTAAATGCACGAATATATTCACCTTATTTGACGGTAAATGATTCATCTGCCTTCTGGACTTTCTGCTTTTATAGCAGCAGCAATAACAAATTAATGTACTAACAAACCCTCCTGTTAGTACAAAACCAACAAGCGCATAAATCCATAAATTTTCAACTGGAAATAATAGAAATATGTATTTTTTTTTACTAGACCGACGTATAATATCGCAATGGAAAGATATACTTTTCATGCATCGTGCAAAGCTTACCACATTTAGGTATATTGCAAAACTCCTTTTGCATTCTGTTATTGATATCAACGTAACACCATGGTTGTAAATCCTTCCCACCAGGATTCCGGCAGTAAGAATGACGCCCGGATAATTCAGGAAAATCAGACATCGCAAGGTTGATGTGGTGAGACCATCGTAAACATAGTTTCCCACTAACGCTTGTTTTCACAGTTCCCCGATAAGATATTCCGCTACCCCAATAGCAATAGTCGTCTGTAAGAAACATGTGAAAAAATGTTAATTTTAATATAATTGAGTGTTTGTTAACAAAAAATTGTTAGTGTAAAAAAATACACACGTTCTTGCACATTATTCGCCGCGGATAATCCGAGAGTTAAGCAATCGCGGGCCTCCGCCGTCCCGTCCAAAGGTAGATCAGAGCATTCGACCAAAGGCACTTGATGCCCGATCAATGGATGTCTCTTCGCTATCGCGTACTCCTTCCTGCACAATTCATTCTCTAACATTTCACACTCTTCCCGACATATCCTTCGTAATTTACGATTGAGGTCGTTCCTGCTGGACTCCCGCGCGTCCCCGTAACTCTGATTAATTATCTTCTTGTTGCTGGACTTGCCGTCTTCCTTGGGCGGAAAGTCGAAAGCTGGGTTAAATGTGGGACTACGTTTCTTGGCGTGCAGTTTGGTAAAATCGTCCATCATGTCGTGGTCTCCGTCATCTAAGAGATCATCTTGCTTGGAGTTCAACAGATTGAATAGCTGCGTACTTGCTTCCGCGTTCTTCGGTTTCTGATTACTGTATGCGTCGCGACATATCGGAAAAGCGGAATAGCAAAGAGATGGTTTCGCATATCCTTCGCAATTTGACGAGAGGTCACTGTGTTTATAAAAACAGTTAAAGACAATTTAGTTTTTCTTCTCATTTAACACGATATTAATATTATTATACTTTTTGAAGATCTTATTTCGTTACATTTTAAAGCCTTTTGTAATAACATACTTACTTTGAGAACTCAATGACTTGAAATGCCTTCATTAATTTCTCTTCGAGCATTTTCTGTGTCATAGGATATATAATATAAACCGATTGGTTTCCTACAAATTGCGCACAGGTTTTTCCTACATACACCTGTAAAAATTCAACTATACTGTAAACTTCTGTTTTATATTTCAGCTCTTTATTCATATATCATTTTTACAATCAAATACATACCTCGCAAGTTCCTTTATGATTGTCCTTTCTGCCTGATATTTCATCGAAATTCACATTGGGAGGGAATTGTATATTGCCATTAGTAAGGCCGCTGATTGTATTGAAATCCAAAGTGCTGGACTGTGAACTGGTTGGCTGTGGATTAGGTATGCTAAATGGATTCGCAGATGCCAAATGAGAGAGGTGAGGCGTAGATCCACTTCTTGAGATGCCTAACACGTCTCCATTTTCCATGCTATTGCGATAAAAAGACAGAAATCTTTTATGTTGTCTTCATTATTTATTTTTACTCGGAACTAATAACTATTTATTAATATAAAAGTTACAATTAGAAACATTACATCTTCATATAAAAAATTTTTCTACAATTTAGATCTTGTATGAATTTATCTTTACTGTGTAATCAAAATAAAGCTATGGTGATAATTGGAATAATAATGATTATTCGTAACAGTTTTATGTGATGATTCGAAATAAAATAGTTGTATATTATTTCAAAACATAACCTTAACAAAATTGTATGAAAAAATTTAATTTTTAAATATCATTAAAGCATTTAACGCAACAAATATTGACGAAGAAAAATCAATCGCTGTCGAGCTGTCGACTGCTTGTTAATGATATCAATTTCTTTAAAGGCTAAGTTATCTAAAAAAAAAACAAAAAAAATGCGTCCTTTCATCATAACCTTTCATCATAACCACGATAAGGCTGTATTACCTCGTCTTCGTTATATTTCCAGGGCTATTTACGGCTCGTACAAAAATACACGTATTTTGCAACAATGCTAGGTACAAGAGTAGCTTCATAATTTATAAATTAATTATCAAAACATTTGGTTTAACGTATAGAACGCTCGTGTCATTTGACACCACACCCGGTGTCAACCATTTGTAAACTAACATTAGAATCATGCTGTAAACATCTGTGACAGCTGCGCGAACTTAAGCAGTAACTCAAACTCTCAACAGATGTCGATAGAATCGTGATTTTCAATTATAACAGCTTCGAGTATATTCGTACGTATTCACGAGTAGAGCCGAGTATTTATAAAGAGGATTAGTTTAGTTCCGCGCTTCAAATTAATAAATCTCCAATTGTTCGACTTCGAATTGATAGTGAGAAATCGATAGAATTAAAACCAAGTAAGTGGATCAATAAATAGAACACGGCGGGATATTAGTAAAGCTAATAACAAAACACAATAATAAGAATTGAATGAGAAATCGAAGTTCCTTAATAGCTTATGATCGAAGAGGCTATTATCGCTTTAAGCGTCAACCATTTTGTTCATTACATTTCATATAATTTCTAACAACTACACGATACTTTTCGAAAGAGAATTCATTAGCTTTAACAGTTATTCTTTTTCTTTTATATTTTCCATGAAGAAGAAAAATATGCGGATATTTTTTCCAAGGATACAATTTATTGTTGTGAACATTTAATAAGTATTTTATCATCATCATTTAACAAGGAACTTCTAAGTGATCTTATATTAATATTTCAGGTATAGAAATCAAATATTTACCCGTTGATAAAACTCGAGTCGGATATTCCCGGAGAAAATCTGTCAGTGCCTGATGACTGTCCTCCCATGGGGTGTCCAGGATGTATAGGAGCTGCACATAGAAATGGTAAAAGTCAATGAGGTGAAATCACATTAGGGTGAGTACAAAATTTACTACCTTTAAATACATAAAACTCGGAGAATTATTTCCATCAACATCCAATTCTTTATTGACAAAATATTTTTTGAGAAGAACTTATAATAAATATCGCACGCTCACATTAATATCTGCAGAAATCATATCTTTATACAATATTTATATGCGCGTCACTTCTTTAAGTGATATCATTAGATATCTATATGAAAGATATTGATGTATGTTTTTAATATTCGTGTTCAAATTATATCGATAGTATTTATTGATTATTATGTATTTATTTGACAAATATTGGCGTATTTTTTATATCATGTCGCGGACATTCATCACTCCGGATTATTGTATCATTGAATGCTTTTAGCTAATATTATACATTTACGCCAACATTAAGCAACGTGATTGCTTAATACCGTAATAATAAGATTTTGTATATTTTATAATCGTCTAAGCTCTGCGAAGCAAATATTCCGTGTCGTCCATTTTCCCATGAATACGAAATACGAAGCTGCAGCTAAAGATCTGAAGAGATCTTCCGGTCTTTCCGGCGGCAAGGCTCGACAACTCGGAGCGCACTAACACACGCGCGATTACGATCCGTCAAAAAGGAGACGCGACATCAAACGCCTCTGTTTGAAGAAAAGCAATTTCACGAAGCAATCGTTTGGGCTTATTATAGGCGAAGCGATTTTCAGGGGAGGCGGCCTCTCGTGTTAGCTTCCTGTTACGAAGGATTTGCACAGTTCCTCTTTCTCTCTTCAGTCATTTTGTTCTCTCCTTTTTTTTTTCTTCTTGTAACTCAGCACAAAGCAAATAATATCAGAAATCTGAATCTACCCCTCGAGAGAAAGCTCGCACGCGGGGGTTCCGATCTATTTCTCATTCGATCTGTAAATCGCTCTCAGTAGGGAGTCTGTGATGTCCTCGAGAAGTTGCATAAAGGACCGTCCATTGCATTTTTACGTATTCTTTAATTTTTCCAGAAAAAAGATCCGGCACATCCCTGAGGGGATGCTTTTGTATTCTTTTCTAGACGGTTCTTTATTCTCTATCGAATTCGTGGAAGAACATAAGATGTCCGAGCAATATTTTTCTATAATTTTCTACATATTTTCTTACATTTTTCCTTCTTCGAAAAGAAAGAAGTCTAAAAATAATTACAATTAAATAAAGCATAAGACATTTTTTAAAATTATATATATTCTTTCCTTGGGAAAGAAATAGGAAGAGAAAGGAGTTATTACACGATCATAAAATTGCAAGATAAAAATCAAGCCAAGAAAAACATCGACGATAATCCATGTAATATTGCGCGATAAGGGCAATAAAATTTTCCGCGTGACGGAGGATAACGACGATTAATTGTTCACTCGAGTCATTTCTTCCCGCGATTCCGGGTGATGATAAATTCGCGGGTGCGTGTGCAGCGGTGCAGTTACGCGAACGCGAGGGAGAAGACAATGAGACGAGAGAGCGAGGCCTCCTCCTGGAGTCGTACGCACAATGTTGCGGCGCGATGCAACGACCGCGCCGCGAGACGGCCCACGTATTATGTATCTCGAACAGGAAGTGGAAAAGATAAGGCGGCTCGTGGTCATTAATAATCCCCGCCTACACGCGGAACAGCTCGCATCCCTGCGACCCCGACGCCGGCGCGCACAACGGTGACACCGTTTTACAGGGCAGTTGTACCGGGTGTCCGAGAGTACTTATAATAACGATGATGGAGCAGCGTTTTCCGCGCGATCTAGAGACGATTTTTTTATCCGCCGAAAGCGAAACTGAAAGCCCGCTAAATTTGCTTAATGTGAAAACGCGATGAAATATATACATTTATTCTATATTTTTCACGGTAGAGTAAATTTGAGTATTTTTTAATTGCAATTGTTTTATATATTTCTGCAGCTTAGTTGTGATATCACGACATTTGCAAATTATGATAGAATATCCGGGTTTGACAGAGGAATATCAAATATCATCCTACCATTGTTGGAATGATTTGTCGGAAACACCCATTATATACCCGTGCATTATTTGCCGTGACGTGCGCTAATGTGTACGTGTGCGTAGGTGGATATATCAGGAGTTTATATTCTACATGCTATTACATTTCCGATCTAATTAGGTGTCTGGTCGGACAATACCCCACTGCGTTTTATTGAGAGAGATAAATTTGTCGCAATTAGAACTCTCGCCATAAAATGGTTGCATGTATTACGTCACGCCTGACGTGGCACATTTATAAATTGATCTTTTTGTTGCTAACGGCAACTTATTATCAGCAACAATGTGAGCAAATGCAATTTATAGACGTACAAAAATCGCACGCAGTTAAAATGTACCGGTCGTTTAATTGTAAAATGGAATAATCTTAAAGTCGTGTTACCTATCAGAGCTTCAGAACTGGAATATTATTATCCTTATATATTCTTATCATCAGTTCAATTAGGATTCTTGTTATATGTAGTTCATAGCGTATATAAATCATGTGTTAGAATCATTTTACAACTCTCTTGTAGACAGAATCTGTAAGAGCCGCTCGCACATTGATAGTCGCTCACGAGACCGCACACGCTCGCACGTTCGCATGCTCGTACGCCGTAGTCAATAAGAGAGGTCGTTGATCATTGGTCAGGCAAGATTAATGATGCCCATGCACGTGCACTACTCTTATGCGCGTGGAAATCAGAAACCGGCAAGTGAACTGGAAATGAATTTCAGCAGCAGCTATACAGACTTCCGCCGCGAAACGCTGAGTAAGACGTTGATTCGTTGTCAACTCTTGTTCTCGCGATTTATTGTAAATTTAGGAAAGCTATTAGAAGAGATTTATTTATTGGTTTTGAATTTATTGACTTTCTTAAAGATTAGTTTCTATATTACAAGCGTTTAAAAAAATTAAGAAATTATATTTTAGGAAGGGATTATGGGCGGATAAGAAAATGTTAGTTTTCAATCTGAAATAGTTTCTCCCTTTAATTTTATTTGCAAAAATATCTAAAAATTAAAAGTTGTGAAAAGTAATTTTTTTTGCAACACATTTACTAAAAATATTATTTCAAAAGTTTATCTTGGTGCAATACTTTATTTTGTACATAAACAATGCGCGTTATAAAATATAACTATAAAACGTAATGAGTGAGAATTTACTTAAGAAAGTGTAAAATTAGTTCTTTAAATGATTGATAAAAAATGAGAAAGAAAAATAAAGTGCAAAAGGAAAGAAGAAAAGAGTCGGGTTTTGCAAGGAAATTAAGAAATATCGCGGTTACGATCGATTGTGTTATACTTTATTGCCACAAGCCGGAGAGGAAGTAGACGCGATTGCATGCGTTCCCCATGTCGCGGTTATGCAACGCTTATGCAAATGGTAGCAAACCGAGCAAGCTCTCGGAGGCACTCTTAAAAACGACGACTACGACGAGAGACGTATTATATACCCGGGATGGAACGATGATGAAATAAGCCATTAAGTCACGAGGCTCGGCGTAACATTACGAAAAGCAACGTAATCTCGTCTAATGTCGTGCAATGAAACGTAATAGCGGCCGCAATGCATCACCTTATTTCGCATGCGGCCAGATATTACGTAGCATCGGTGAACCCTCGTGCAACAGCAAACCGTCTCTCGTGACATTTTCAACTTTTTTAAAACGTTCCTCCATTCTTGAAGTATCCGCGTGAACTGTTCGACCGCGCAACTTAAAGAAATATAATCTATTTGAAAAAAAAAAACAGAAATATATAAATTAGTATTATACAATTACATTAAATTTCATGAAAAGAAATTTTAACGCTATACAGAAAAAATGTCTAATTACTTTAGCATCTGGTATATTTCTATCGTTCACTCCGCGATGAATAACGAACGGAAACTGCTCTTCCCGTTCTTCAAAATCTTGCACAAAATCCCAAGCATTGCAAGAAACGACACTATCTCAAATGACAAAAAACAGCTGCCCTTATTTATATGCCCTCTCCATAAATGCATCCAATTTTGCACACGAGGCATCCTCGCGGGAGGCCGCGTTTGCACGAGCAGCGTCGTTACTCAGGCTCTCTATCGTCCTTGTAAATTATCAGTGGAACGTTCGCGGCACGCCATCCTGAGGGGTCACGTATGCAGCCCCCGGGGTCCCCGTGGCCGGGGGCGGTCGACGACGTCGACCGTGCACGCGCACCGAGGAGCAAAAGAAAAAAAGAAGAAAAAAAAAGAAAGAAAGAACGGAGAGAGAGAGAACACGTTTGTCTTTGATAATCAACGGATGTCCCATCCATCTTGGTCGAAACGGTCAACACTTTTCCAGGCGTGACACCCGCGGCTGCCGGATTCCGACCGGTGCATTATTCATGAGACCGCCGTGGTAAGTGTTGTCCGAAATTCAATTCGGTAGTCCGTGAAGGACGTTGTACGTGATTTGCCTCCCGCTGGACAAACGTACGGCGCGTCTCTCTCTTTCGTGTAAAAGATTATTATGGCACAATTATTATTAATTAACTTGGGGTTTGAAATACATTTTCGGCGCACGGTCGCCAGTTGCGAATTTCGCGCTTTATTTTAATTCTATTGTATCTTTTTTTTTTTTTCATCTCAATTGTCGTCTAACTTGTACACATTTATATAATTTGATTATATTTTTTTCGAACTTGTGTAACATATCGAGATAAACTCGAGTCTCCGTTCTTTCTTCGCTCGTTTTTCTTTTGCCGGCGACCTTCCGCGTGTCTCTCGCGCATTGTTGGGTTCCTGCTCTGCCTCGTCACGAGAAGAACCGCTAATCGCTTCGAGCGAGTTCCCAGCGGAGCGCGGAAGCCGATCGGACCGGTGAAGTTATGATGCCGTTCTCTCGTCAGCTCCGAGAGGTGATCGATAGACGCAACTTCGAGTTTCGACTGCACGCGTTGAGAGATAAGGCCGGCGATAATGAAAATGATGTCGGTCAAGTTTTATTATGTAC